GGGCTGCACACCGAGAGCCCCTTCCCCGGCGAGGCTGCACACCGAGAGCCCCGTCGCTACTGGGGCTGCACACCGAGAGCCCCTTCCCCGGCGAGGCTGCACACCGAGAGCCCCGTCACCACTGGGGCTGCACACCGAGAGCCCCGTCACCACTGGGGCTGCACACCGAGTGCCGTGCCCCGCACACCGACCCCCGTTCCCCCGCCGTCTCTCACCTGCCGCGGGCCGGGTCCGCAGGGGTCCGTAGGTGTCGGTCGGGGCGTACATGGGCAGGTGGGCGCGGTGGCGGCGCAGGAAGCGCAGGATGGGCTCCCGCAGGGCGGGCGGGCCGGGGCTGTGCTCGGCGGCGGGGGACTGCCCGGGCACCTGCAACACAGAGCCGTCAGAGGCCGAACCGGACTCGGGGCACGCACCGGTGATGCGGCGGGGACCAAAAACGTGTCAGTGGGCAGTGAGCACGGAGTGGGGCTCGCACTGGTGGCACCGAGTGCACCCTGGGGCTGGGGTGCTCGGCTGTTTGTTCATCCCTCCCTCCCAAGTGACACGATGCAGATGTAAGGGTTGTGTGGAACCGAACCTGCGCGGAGCCCCCGGCTGTCCCGGACATAGACTGTCCGAGGGGTTTAGCCAAAGGAATTCCCTACCCCGTGCCCAATTTACTGTGGCTTTTAACCCAGTCTGCAGCCTCAGCTGCGGCCGGAGAAGCTGGACATTATTCCTGATGGAGGACAAGCGCCTGTTCCGGAAGGTCTGGCGCGGCACGTGTGCCCTCGGCGTGCGGCAGCATCCGACAGCTGATGGAGGTGCAGACCCCGGCCCTGCCATCTGCCTGTTTGCATCGCCGGAGCCGCGCACGGCGGCACAAACACATGGCTGTGATCCCCGAGGGGTAAACACGCCCTGCGCCAGAGGCCCCGCGAGAGCCCCGCGCAGCGAGGGCGGCCTTGGTGACGGTGTCGACACAGGCTGAACGCACAGTCCCCGGCCCCACCGCAACCGGCTTTTCTATGCAGTTATTGCTTCTACCAGCAAACGTTTCTGTAAATGTTACCCCTATTGCATGACACTGATTTCCAGTTTCTCTGGAAACTGTAACTCAAGAAATGTCTTGAGTCCTGTGCACTTAAGTTCACAGTTCTTAAACATCTCTTTCAAAGGGGTGTTTTCCCCTCATTTTTACATTTCATCAGTAATTTTTCTGTGTGCTAAAGTGAACTGGAATATCAGCAACAGGAAGCAAAGACAGTCTCTTACTCCATATAGAAATACAGCCAGTCCTAAGGCATTTAAGAGAGATTCCATAAGCACAGGGTACCTAATCTGTATCTGGCAACGTGCCCAGAAGGAACACCCAATGAAAACACATATATGTGATATCTAGTAAATATAGTTAAAATTACCATAAAAAAATCCAAATAAAAATCCAACCCCCCTAATTTGCATTCAGATGCAGATACCATCACCTTACATCCATGTGAGCAATCCTGACTCACAGAGCTGCTTCCAGTCTGTGCAGGGGGACTGTGTGTGTCAGGACTGCTACCACAAGGACACGGTAAGGCGAGTGAATCCTTAATTCCCCTCTCTCTGAAGTTGTTCACACTTGGAGCATGCGAAATGCAACTGAATGATGGCAAAAAAACCCACTTCACATCAGGCCCCCCATTCTGCACAGAACCTCATTTTGTTTTCTTTTATAGATGTCTTTCAAGAGAATCTAAATTAAACCGCACCAAGGCACTTTCTGGGTCAGGACAACGGGAAGCAAATTGCCTGGAGCTGTTGTGGGAGGAGGCAGAGCCGAGCGTGCGTGTGGCTGCAGCTGGGACACGGCAGCACGGGCACGGCGGTTTGGGTGAGCCATGGGCCCCACAGCCTGCCTTCTTCCTGCCACTCTGCCTCCATCAACACTCGGTTCTGTTCCTTTTCTGCACAGTTAAAAATTGTGAGCACGTACTTAAACCCCACGGCTGCCGCCCAGAACCATGCGGGGTTAAACAAAGGCAAAGGCAGCTCGAGCAGGGCAGGGGAGGCTGGTCCCAGGTAGTGAGGTGGAGGCATAGAGACAAGAACTCAAATTCTGTTTGGGATCAGCCAGAAAGTTCCTGAGGGGGTGGGGGAGGCAGCTCCGGGGGCTGTTGGATACCTGCCATTAACAGCCACAGAGTGCAGTGGCTTTGCAGTTTGGGCAGGCAAAGTTACAGGCTGCTGAGGCTTTGTGCCTCTGTCTATGGTGCTAATGCCAAAGCTATGAACAGCATTAGCAAACGTTTCAATTGCACCCGTATTCAGGACATCCACACACTACTGAAAAAGCCAGTTGCTTTCACTCTGGGTTACAACGAAAAACCTACCCACGGGCTCAGCTGAAGCGGGTGTAGGATGGGCTGTAGTGAGTTCCTGTTAGGGAACACTACTGAACCCAAGGGGACAGCTAGACAAGCCAGCCTCCACATTCTGCTGTGTAGTTGTACTAAATTGCAGGTATAATGCAAAAGTGCTGTGAAGGAAAACAAAGCAACTTCAAGTTCTACTGGCAGATTTGAGAATATGCCCAAACAACAAAACTGAACCATGTGCTGTACTTGGTGACCCCCCTCCGTGAGGTACACGGTCTGCTCAGGCTTCCCAGAGGAGAGAGCTAAACAGAAACATAAAGCTTCAGGAGAAAGATGGGAGAAGAAACCGAAGTGAACAACACTAACAAATTGCCTAAATAATAAAATGCACTCGGCGGTCGTTTTTCTTACCTGTTCTGACATCAGGATTTGGCGCAGCTCCTTCTGGAGATCAATAAACCGATCGTGATAGATGGCCATGGACCAAGGTTCCCTGAAGTAGCTGGGGAAAAAAGAAGAAATTTAGTTATCCTGTGAACCTCTCATTAACCACTAATAAAGTATTTACCTGCTTTTTTGCCTTTATAAATTACAGTTCTGGACCCATCATGATCGTTTGTTCATAAAACGCCTCCTGTAACAGCATGGTCAATCAATTCTTTTAATGGATGTTCCTGATGTACAGCCAGCTTCAGTAATTACATTTAAAGTGGCTTAATTCAGAGCTGTGGCAAGACCCAGTGAAGAATCCTGATTTTATCAGAATTTAAAAGCCTGAAGACCTGTAAAGAACGGTGTCTCCATTATCTGTCCTCATTTGAGAAAAGCAGATTGCAGGATTAACTGAACTGCTGCATAAACAAATTAAATTTGTGTAGACAATGACACAAATGTTGTTCATCATTAAGGTTTCTGGATTAATAAAAGCCAGAAAAACAGGCCACCACAGCGCTGCAATATGTTCTTTGCGCTACTGTGATGAAGCTAAATTGAACGGATTCTAGGAGGAAGCTCTTGTAACTTTTTCTTTCAGTGACAGCATTTACGAGAGCATTCTTCCATGAAAAAGGAGGAAAAGGATGGAGAGGACATGGCTCCATGCCGAACTGCATGGCTGTAAATATAACCAGAGGCAGCCAGATTACAAAGCTGTGATTTATTTCCCTTTATAACGAAAGATAATTTTTACACGTGTGTAATTCTTGTTAATGCTCGCTGCAGTCAGGAGGTGCCCCATGCTCATCCCTGTAATGACCAAACAGATGTCACCAGGGTCACCCAGGAAGTTGGGAGAGGACATTTGCAAGCCTGTGCCCAACACTTGTGCCTCTGGAATGGCAGCAGGGCCCTGGCACTGCCCCAGGAGCACACAAATGCTCTTGTCCGGTCCAGCTGTGTGGTCTCTAAAAGAACATCTGGATAAGGCAACTTAAACGGTGCTACACGAGTTCAATAATTCTATCTACAGAGAACTAACGTGCAGTTCCCTCTCTGTGGATTTTATTTCCTCCCCATCCAGGGGCAGGATTTTCCCCTCCTGCTCTGAACTACACCTCAGCTCTCCCGTGCCATTAACAAGGCTCTGTGTGTCTGGCACAGCTTGGTTGGGTTTTCACGTGCTCGGCCCCTCTCTGTCCCTGCAGCCCGTTCCTCTCTGTGTGCCAGGCTGGCTGGGGCTGCCCCTCGGAATCTGCACGGCCTCCAGCACAGCAGGGCTCTCTCCCATAGGCGTTTTCACACTATAAATATTTATGGACGCTATTCCAAACACAAGTGCTGCCCAGCCCAGGAGTTACCGCTGGCTCATTCAGATATGCAGGTTAGCAAGGATGAGCTCAGCTTTACACATCTTTATTTCAGTAACTGCACACCTGAAATGTGTGCAGAGACCTAGACAAGAACACAATATCCCTCAAATATTTAAACCCCCTTTAATTTCAGAAGAAAACCCCCACCCAACACAAACCTTTAACTCACTGTTGATATCAGATAGCAAAGAGAAAGGGGAGTATTATACAAGAATACATTAAGGTAATTACACACACTATTTTTACTGATGTGCCCTGCTAAAAGCCACGTTCCACTAGCCAAATGTTTTGTCTTCAAGCTGGTATCTTAATTTTAATTGTAACTCTGAGGAGGTGATTTCCTCTTTCAACTGAGGCACATCTTCCAACTGCCTTACCTCAGTTAAGGTGCTCACCTGTCTCACTGAGGTGTTGCATTAAATGTTTTTCATTAATGTTTCAGGGGTGCTATCTATTCCTGCTACCATTACCAGTTCCATTCATAACCATGAGTTTAACTGTTCCTGTCAATATTCACAGATTTGGAGCTCAAAACCTGAAATTCATTGCTCAGTTTGAAATATTTAATGCAAATAAAATGCCCTTTTTTAGGGAACAGAGAATGCCTTGTCCATGTTTTCTAGACAGGCTGCCAGAAGGAGCTCCCAGTACCCAACATTTACTCCCATCTCCCTTCATTTCCCTTAACCTGAAGAACTGTACCCTCCAAGAGCAATTTGGAGATTCACCTCACAGAAACAATTTGCTTTCTTTGCCGGCTCTGCGCTTTCATCTATTTATCTTTTCAGTTCGAATCACCTTTCTCAGGGGGCACATGGTGTTTTTGAGAGAGCAGCTCCACATATGGCTGCTAAAAGGAAGTTTAATAATGAAAACACCCATTTGAATCCAAACCAACAAGTTGACTTTCATTCTGAATTTTATTACCACTTCAGCAGCAGTCCCTCAGGGCGAGCTGGGGAAGGCTCTGAAGTATAATGCTCTTCAGTGTGCGAGATGGAGCTGGCAGGCTCCCAACAGGGGCTCAGAGGCTCCTCCGCTGCATGAGAACGGCATCTGCCACATGTGTTTGCACCCTTCAGTCTTTCATAACCTGCCAGAGCCATCAGGCTAAACGTGTACAAGATGACAATGGTGCCAGGGGCATAACGGGTGTGCAAACTTGGTCCCCTCTGAGCAGGGAGCCCTGCTGGAAGCCTTGCCAGCGACGGCAGCGATAGCAGGAAGGCGTCTGACAGAGAGGGATGGAACTGGTTCCTCCAGAAGACAATGAGCGACATCCTTCTCGTTGCTAAGGAGCTGGTCTTGCCTCTCATTGACAAACAATATTTAAAGTCTGGTCTGCCTCACTGGTGAGGTGTAGCCTACATTAGATGAGAGGCAAGGAGGAAGGAAATATTTTGTGGTGTCCTGTAAAAAAGGCATAGAATCCTTCCCCGTGCAAAGGATATAAATAAAGTGGACAGAGCTGGGCACTGCTAGCAAGCAAAAATGGAGTGTGTGTGCATGTGGCTGTCCATCCAAGAGCTGCCTATAGTTACTCTCCCTGTCATTTGCAGGAACACATCACATTTGGAGAAGAAGCCACTCCTGTGGAAGCTGGTTCTACATCCTGGCAGTGAGGACCTGACACTGCCTCGCTGACTGTCAGGTTTGCTGGCACAGGATATACCACCAGCAGCAAGGTGCAAAGCCAGAAAGTCTCAAAAACTGCAGGAAAAACCTCCAGAATAACACACGTGGTTTGTACAGGAACGAAACAAAAAGCAAGGTATAAAGTACAAAAAGAAGATCAGTAATTGCAGTTATTTTAAAATAATTTACAACCCTGTGACAGGGAAGGCCTAGCAGAGGAAGAGGACCAGCTCTGTGAGAGAGCTGCCCAGCTCTGGGCTGACACTGACCCCTGAGCAGGGGCACACGCTGCTGCTTCTCCCTGCAGTGAGACCAGGATGAGGTGGCATTTTCCAAGACTCAAAGGGCAGGTGGCACCTTGTGATGGTGCCTTTGAAAGATCCCTCTGCAGACTGGTGTGGCCATGATTACAGCTGTGGAGGATGCTGTGCCTCTGGCTGTTCTTCTGCTACTCAGAGCTTTTATGGAAACAACAAACCCAAATTCAACTCCTCACATCCCTGCTACCCCCACTCTTCCAGCACACATACACTCAGGGCAAGTTCAGAGACTCAGACAGCCCATGAAATGGGTTGGATCTGTTTGCAACCCTCATTTAATGTCTCTAAACAATCCTTAATGCAGATCTCTTGAAATCCCATTTGTTTCCTCCCAAAGCTGGCCACAAGGCACCAGTGCCCTGCCCTCCATGCCCTTAAGCCCAGTGTCTCTCTGGTCAGTGCAGTGCCCTCAGCACACATGGCTTTTTAGTAGCCAATATAAGCAGAGTCATTGATCAATTTAAGCTCCTGTTAATCTGTAAGGAGTGGAGAGTCTCCTTTCCTCTCTGGAGCTTCCAACACTTTGTACAACATGGGGAATTTTCAAGATAGATGTCCATTTTCTTGGGTTTAAATTTCTTTTTTTGAGAGAAAATGTAATGCTCAAAATGCAGAGTTCTCCAGGCTGTACCAGTTACATCTGGAAGATACTGTCCATTCTCAAATCCTCAGACCTCAGGACACACAAAGTTATTCCCTAGCACATTTGGGTCCCTTAACCTTGAATGGCTTTGGTGGATTATGGAAGCCGTCTCTTGGTGGTGCCTTTGACACACAATGGCAAAAGCTCCCCAGTGCAGGGCCCAGTCAGGCAGAGAAGCTGCTGCTACACAGACCCCAGGAACCAACCCAGGAGGACAAGCACAGAGGAAATGGAAGCTGTTCACCTGACACAGGCTCAAGTGGAACACAACTATGCCAGGAGTGCCTACACAGAGCAGGGAATTTCACTTCCCAGGAGCAGGGAGAGTAAAGTACTGCAGAGGGATGGGATGCAGCACAATTTTAATTTCCAGGTAATATTGACAATACTTCCCAACCACAGCTTGCAGATGAGCAAAAGTCTTTTCTCCAACACAAGCACCTAAGATGCATTGTTTTGGAGACAACATATGGATGTTTTTGAGACTCTTAATTACAAAGATACGGTGATTCCAGTAAAAGGTACAGAATATTTCCAGATATATTTTGGATAGCCAGACCAGGAATCATCAAGTGTTAGTTTAAGGAAAATATAAATAAAACCATTGAGCATTTCCTGCCAATATCACCTGACCAATAATTTTGAAAGACAGCTTTACGTAGGTTTACATAGGTAAAAAGCAGGACCAATTTGTGTAAAATCCCCTAGAGCACCACCTGAGAGTGTTCTTCAGCACAAAGGGCATAACATGTCCCCTGGCCTGCAACTTCCTAATGTTTGCCTACAACTGCTGAACAGCCAAGCAGGTGTTGAACCAACAGCCCTGGTTGTAGCAAGAAGGACCTTCAGCTCTTTGCTCTGCAGTTCTGCTCCCTGAACACCTGTTTGCCCAGGTGCTTTACTCACTCCTATTAAACAGTCTTATGGACAACAAATCTGTGACTGACTGCACTGGGCAGTTTCACAAAGTGAATCTGCTCAGGAATTCACAGGCTCGAAGGAAATCCTGGAAACGAAGCCTGTGCTTCTTTACCACTTTGCACAGAACCCACAGCATCTTCTCTTTGGAAGATGACTGGGTTAGAAGCTGTGATTC